GGGATCAGTTGATGAGAAGTTCCGTAAACTTCAGAGCAAATTAGAGAACTTCAAGGCAGTTCCATTAGTTTCTGACAACTGCAAAACTTTGAAGAAGTTCGGTGACCTTCAGGGTAGATCAGACACCTCATGAGAAGTTAATTATTTTTCAGAAATTTTAGAAACATTAGAGACCCTTAGAGTTCTTTGGGGGATGATCAGATAACATTAAAGCAGTTACATTGATTTGAAGAAGTTGCGGGAACTTGCATGATAATTTCAGAGATATTCCAGGAAAATACAGGATCTTCAGGAAAGTTCCAAAAACTTCAGGGAAGTCCAGAGAAGGTCATGGAAGTTTAGAAGAAATAAGAAAGAGTCCACATCCTTAAGTTGAAAGTTTATGCTTTTCCGTTGATACTGACAACCACCCCCAAATTCAAAATGCATCAATACTAACATTGCATTGCAAATTAGCAAAATGGGTAGTAATGAAATTTTGACTATATTTGTAAATAATTTGTTCTACTACTGACAACTTCAATTCCAAGATTCCAAGTTCAGGGAAGTCCTGCCGAAGTACAGGGAAGTCCTACCGGAGTTCAACGAAGGCTTACCGATGTTCAGGAGAGGCCTGCTGAAGTTTATAGTAATTCTGCCGAAGTTCAGGAAGTTATTTTATTTATTTTATTTATTGTATTCCTTTTTTATTTATTTTATATATTTTATTTATTTTATTTATTGTATTCCATTTTTATTTATTTTATTTATTTTATTTATTTTATTTATTTTATTTATTTTATTTATTTTATTTATTTTATTTATTTTATTTATTTTATTTATTTTATTTATTTTATTTATTTTATTTATTTTATTTATTTCATTTATTTTATTTTTTTATTTATTTTTTTTATTTTATTTTTTTTTTATTTATTTGATTTATTTTATTTATTTTATTTATTTTATTTATTTTATTTATTTTATTTATTATATTTATTTTATTTATTTTATTTTTTTTATTTTTTTTATTTTTTTATTTATTTTATTTATTTGATTTATTTTATTTATTTTATTTATTTTATCTATTTTATTTGTTTTATTTATTTTATTTATTTTATTTATTTTATTTATTTTATTTTTTTATTTTTTTTATTCATTTATATTTTATTTTATTTATTTTATTTATTTTATTTATTTTATTTATTTTATTTATTTTATTTATTTTATTTATTTTATTTATTTTATTTATTTTATTTATTATATTTATTTTATTTATTTTATTTATTTTATTTATTTTATTTATTTTATTTATTTTATTTATTTTATTTATTTTATTTATTTTATTTATTTTATTTATTTTATTTATTTTATTTATTTTATTTATTTTATTTATTTTATTTATTTTTATTTATTTTATTTATTTTATTTATTTTATTTATTTTATTTATTTTATTTATTTTATTTATTTTATTTATTTTATTTATTTTATTTATTTTATTTATTTTATTTATTTTATTTATTTTATTTATTTTATTTATTTTATTTATTTTTTATTTATTTTATATATTTTATTTATTTTATTTATTTTATTTATTTTATTTATTTTATTTATTTTATTTATTTTATTTATTTTATTTATTTTATATTTATTTTATTTATTTTATTTATTTTATTCATTTTATTTATTTTATTTATTTTATTTATTTTATTTATTTTATTTATTTTATTTATTTTATTTATTTTATTTATTTTATTTATTTTATTTATTTTATTTATTTTATTTATTTTATTTATTTTATTTATTTTATTTATTTTATTTATTTTATTTATTTTATTAATTTTATTTATTCTATTTATTTTATTTGTTTTATTTATTTTATTTATTTTATTTATTTTATTTATTTTATTTATTTTATTTATTTTATTTATTTTATTTATTTTATTTATTTTATTTTTTTTATTTATTTTATTTTTTTTATTTGTTTTATTTATTTTATTTATTTTATTTATTTTATTTATTTTATTTATTTTATTTATTTTATTTATTTTATTTATTTTATTTATTTAATTTATTTTATTTATTTTATTTATTTTATTTATTTTAATTATTTTATTTATTTTATTTATTTTATTTATTTTATTTATTTTATTTATTTTATTTATTTTATTTATTTTATTTATTTTATTTATTTTATTTATTTTATTTATTTTATTTATTTTATTTATTTTATTTATTTTATTTATTTTATTTATTTTATTTATTTTATTTATTTTATTTATTTTATTTATTTTATTTATTTTATTTATTTTATTTATTTTATTTATTTTATTTATTTTATTTATTTTATTTATTTTATTTATTTTATTTATTTTATTTATTTTATTTATTTTATTTATTTTATTTATTTTATTTATTTTATTTATTTTATTTATTTTATTTATTTTATTTATTTTATTTATTTTATTTATTTTATTTATTTTATTTATTTTATTTATTTTATTTATTTTATTTATTTTATTTATTTTATTTATTTTATTTATTTTATTTATTTTATTTATTTTATTTATTTTATTTATTTTATTTATTTTATTTATTTTATTTATTTTATTTATTTTATTTATTTTATTTATTTTATTTATTTTATTTATTTTATTTATTTTATTTATTTTATTTATTTTATTTATTTTATTTATTTTATTTATTTTATTTATTTTATTTATTTTATTTATTTTATTTATTTTATTTATTTTATTTATTTTATTTATTTTATTTATTTTATTTATTTTATTTATTTTATTTATTTTATTTATTTTATTTATTTTATTTATTTTATTTCGTCTCGTGGTAAGCAGAGATGTACTGTTTTATGGATGGAGAGAGGGAGAAGGAGGTCTGGGATATGATTTACGATACAAATATTTCATTATTCCAAAAACATGAACTTATTTCTATTCAATTTGGTTTCAGCAGTGTAATTGTACCATACAAACATTTAAAAAAACACACACACACACACACACACGAACAAGGTACGAACTAAACAAAAGGTTAGTCAAACAAGTCAAATTCATCGTATGCGATTTGTCCATCGTAAATATTGCCTTTCATAGCGCCCACCTTAGCAAGTGAGTCCGCCATCTTAGATCAACTTCTAGACGTTCCATTAACCTCAGGAAAATTGTGGGAAATTTAAAAAGTTCTGTGGAAACCAGGGAAGTTCAGAGATTTTTTTGGGAAATCCAGAGAACTTCAGGAACGTTGAAATAATTTCATGGAAATTCAGAGAGCATCGAAAAGTCGATAGAAGTTCGGGGAGAATTTTAAGAAAACTACGGGATCTTTAAGTCCGATCAATGAACATCCGGGTGATTTAGTAAACTCTGGAGAAGTTCCGACAACTTTAGGAAAATTTCCACCAATTGGCATGTGATTTCAGGTGTCTCACACGTAAAACAACCATGTCAGGATATAACAGTGGTTGACGGTTTGGCTTATCAAGGTTAGGATCTGGATTCACACAAAGTCTCATAAACCGATAGCTAACACAACAAATTTATTGGATTGTATGAATGACTCTTGCGTTTTTTGGCGAGTTGATTACAAACAAATCATACCATTGCCTCAGTAAAAGGGGGCGCATGAATTTAGGTAGATGGTGGTGCACATATGAAAATTCAGCGGCTAATCAGCTCTCAATTTACCATGACAGCACTGAGGACTTCTGATTTGTTACTCAGTTTATAAATCAGAAATATTGAACACAATTCTCCCCGTCCCCCCATCCATCCCCAGTCGCAAATTTGAAAGCAGTGGTCCATCTCGTTGAAGATTTTTTTTTTATAAATATACCTACCTGGTCCACAGCCAAATCCACCAAACAACCCGTCACGTTTACCAAACAATAACACCATGCCGCAAAAGTCAAACATCACAAGTGGCTGTGGAAATGAGAGCTTAGTTCATAGAAAGTAAATAAAACAATCGGATTTTGTTTTCTACGGGATTGCGGGGACTTGCATCGGAAATCCTCCACGATCGATCAGGCAGTTACAGCGGCGGCGTCGGCGACATAATCGGTTTCACTTTTCCTCCCTCGCTCGCTCATCGATTGCTGCTTCAAAGTCTGAGCACACTCGCCGAGACCAATTCGTCGAATCCCGCTCCAGCTGATCGGATCTCAAGCAGGCGTGTGCGTTTCGTTCGTTTTCGCACCCGAAAAACCGCGGGTCGTGATTTTGCATTAATCTCAGCAGGCCGTTTTTGGTCAAATGTCAAGTGACTTCCACTCGCTCACCCACCTCAGCAGCTTAAAACCACATGCAGATGCAAATTATTGACAACGAGTTGCGCGGTTTCTGCTTTCGGGGATCGACCAAATTTGTGTCACTGTTTCAAGTGACAGTTTCCCTTTCGTTTCAAATTAAAGGTGATGGTGAAGTCACAACAAAGTACTGGGTAGTCGTCTTCGTCATCTTCAAGGTTGACCACCGCGATCCAGTATTTGCCCTGAGAACCAATCTACAATAATTTAAAACTTTTATGTGGCAATCACCGTTCGGAAAAGGTTCGTAAAACCAATCAGGCGTGAATGCGGCAGAAACTTCCCGGCTGCTGCTGCAATATGGAATGTGCAGTAAAAAGCGTTTTATAAATGAGTAGCAATTTATCTACCCTACACCACACACTGACTGCTATGGGGCCTACTATGTCTACATGGTGATCAATACTGCTGATGCTGCGGTTCGAAGCAGGCTGTGCGAATGCGAATCGACGGCGACCCAGGCCTGCTTTGTGGTGACGGAGAAAAGCATTTCCTTCTTTCGCTTCTTCTCGATGGGAACATTAAATGTAGCAAATACTGAACAAGACGGGCTTGATGCTTTGAATGGGTTCCAATTGAGGGGTGTTTGCAATTGGCTACTACAAATGGAGCTTAATTTGTGTACACAAGTTGCAGTTCATCTTCCATTCAATAGAATATTGCTATTTATTATAAAAGAACTGATTATCGAATCTCACTTCGCGGAAATTCCGAAACATTTTTATTATCCTTACTCCTAATCGAACTTTTCTAGTTACATCACAGTTGGTTTGTACGTATTTCGATGGCAGCACAAGCTGTCATTCCTCTTTCGGCAGCAGGAACGTCACTGCAGCACTGATAAACAACATTCCGGACAGGAAATAGAATGTTAGGGGGCAGTTTTGAGTCATCAGCAGTCCGATGACCACACTGGCCACGAAACAGCTCAACCGACCGACCATATTGACCAACGAAACGGCCATTCCTCGGACGTGAGTTGGGAATAGGGACACGGCCCGGGCGTTCACCAGCATGACACAAATTCCGGCAAACATAATCTCCACGCAGAACAGTAATGCCACGAGGTAGCTGTTGTTGAAGAACTGCAACAGTATTCCGGCAACGCCAGCTATGGTCATGTTGCATACCAGCACTGTCGACCCTCGGAATCGACCCAAGATGCACGAAAGCGTCAAGCAGTAGACGGCTCCGAAGGCTCCGAGCATTGCCGTATAGATGAATGTCTCCTGTTGAACTTGATCTACGCAGACCGTTGAAAGTGACAGTGACGGATCTTCCGATGACGATTGTTGAAGGACTGAGCAAATTTCGGTACCATCCGCTGAATCGTTCGAGGAGATTTGATTCATGATTTGTGGAAACCAGAGACCTAGACCACCGTAGCTGTAATAGATTCGGAGATTATGTAGATTACTGAATTGAGCAGCTCTGTCGATTACTTACATGGTGAAGGCACTGACACTGTGGATGCAGCAAACGAAGAAGTACTTCAGGTGTGGAAACGTCAGCAGTGGAACTGTTTGATCCTTCATCGATTTCAGAACACCCATTAGCCCAGTTTGAGATTCACGCTTGACTTCATCGATTTCGGATCTCAATGTAGTCACCTTGTAGCTTCCCTCGCTGCCAGCTCCATGGTTAATTCGGTGAAATCGCTTCAACACTTCTAGGGCTTCATCATCGCGGCCTTGGGACAGTAGGAACTTGGGACTTTCCGGAAAAAAGAAGAACGTAATTCCCGACAACAGTCCAGGAATGGTGTACAGAATGAACAACAGTCGCCAAGGTTTGTAGGTGATCGTATCCGTGATGGGGAAGCTCCAGTCGTACGACAACGCTAACCAACCGATTACTAGAAGGATACAAAATTTTCAAAAATCGTCATTCTATTTCCAAATGGTTGACTACTCACAAGCGACGTAGATAATTCCCAGCGAAGGCATCACCGAAGCGTAGGATATTAGTTGAACCCGTTTCTGAGGCGTGCACAACTCTCCAAGATACGCGTAGACGGTAGCAGACGGCGCTGCGATGCACAAACCCGTTATGAATCGCAAAACCATCAGCGAAGCGAAGTCATTCGCAAAGCTCGACGCTACCGAACATATCGAGGCAGCAATCAACGAATACTTCAGCACAACCTGGCGACCGCGCGTATCCGCCTGGTAGCCCCAGAAATACGACGACGTCATAATTCCTACGAATCAAAGCAACCCGTCAGTTAACTTTCGTCAAACCCAAAGCCTACCGTTGCGTGGCAACAAACCTAGAAAGATGGCTCCTCCAATCATTCCTTTCTCACCGGGATCCAGCCCCAGATCACAGTGACTCGCCGGCAAAATGATGCTCATCCCCATGGCTTCGTTGATCGAAGCCATGATTGAGAATCCGGACAGCAGAATTAGGTAGAACTGTGCTCGACCGAATCCAATTAATTCCAGCGCTTCATCGTAGGTGTGCGATCGTTTCTGGACGGGTTTGAACGGTTCCACTGAGAACACCATACTGACCGAACAGGGAGGTGCCATTATGATTGAAAAACTTAAAGCTTTCACTACCTAAACTATCTAAAGAGAGATTCTTGGGAGACGAAGGTACGACCATAACGGTTGAATGATTCGCGCAAACTGAGCCACTGGGGACGTTTCTAGGTCTTAAAGATCGCACCAGATCGGTGCCCCGTGCCATCGTCGTTGTCTTATCAGTTTGTTTGAAGGTAATTCGCGTAGAAGTTTTGAAATGATACACGATGACACTGCGGAACGGAAGGAAATGGAACGGACTGGCACGTTGTTAAGCCACCATCGCAGCGCACTTTGCGCTCATTCACGCGGACTGAAATATGAATGAGAAATGTGAGATCGGTCTAGTTGGCGCTGTCTGAGTGCAATTAACCCTTTTGCGATAAGCGTGCGTTGTCATGACGATGCTAGAATTGCTAATCGTCGCTGGTGGTTTTGATGCAGAATTTGGTGGTGTTCGTGGAATGGATGAATTATTTTACGAGGCTTTTATCACTCAAGCAGAGTTATTTCTTGTTTCATTTTACACACGGGCAAACAAAAGCGAATTTGGCAACCTTGAATATTGGCGTAATTGCTGTCTGTGTAAACAGAAGACGTTGAACTGTTTTTGTGCAAGTTATATCTTTTTATCCGATACGGGGTGTTGCTATGGAAACTGGTACAAACATTAATAGATTAAAAGTGAACCCCGAAAATTGTTTTTTGTTTCAGAAATGTAAATAAGAGTCTTTTCACAAATTTAATAATGAAAAAAATGTAGCCCCAGGCTGAAAGCCTCCCTAATAAAGATAAATTAATTAATTATTGCAAAAAATTGCATTGCAAATTGCTCCTTCTTAAGATAGCAAATTCACCAATAAACCAACCACGAGGTGTAGCTTATAAAAGCTAACATTATTTAAAATACAATTGCTAAACAGTATAATAAAACAGCGCAATTCATAACAGGAAACTGTTTGAAAATAAACTTAAAAATAATTAGGAATACAGGTCAGATCAAGGGGTAGGTCACACCGCACACCAATTTTGGGTCATATTTTTTGTCAGTGTGCCACAGGTGTACCAATTGTGCCGGTCATAGAGCAAGCTGCGATTGTTTGTAAAATACCCATCCCGGCAACCCGGTATTTCTGACACCTTGAATGTTTTGGTTTGAAATCACAAGGATAAATCGGATTGAGAATGACGCGGGAAATGGTGAGTGCGAAATTTTGGTGTTTTGTGTTCAAAGGTTAGTAAAAGTCTTGTGTTTTAGGATTCTATAATGCCCTCAAAGGCAGACCAGAAACCTAGCCTTTTGTGATGCGAAAACAACGGTCTACCAGCGGCCGTATAGAGTTGGAACCGGTGGGGAACATTGTTGGAGACCGACTATAGTGGATGATGAATAGACTTCTGTAGTTTGTTTTGTATGAGTTGCAGCATTATTTGAATTAAAGGTACTAATTGGGTCTGACTAGCTGCCTCTTTCTCTTGAGCCCACTCATGAACCTACATTTCGTATTCAGATCTATATGTGAACTGCTGGTCTGAGTTCCTCTGGTGTATTCACTTAGAGGATGTTCCTGAATATACAGTCAAACAGCACGTAATGTTGTGAACAACTTCAATGACAGTTGTTCAGCAGTGATTCTATTTAATTTACAACAATCCAATGCCTACGTCATTGTGCCGAAGAAGTGACCAAACTGAGCCGAATTTAATGTTGGCACAATGTGCTGAGTGACTTACCCCTTGGGTCAGACTTGATTATCGGTAACTGACTTGCGTCATTTCTTTCGTCGATTTCTCGCAAACAACAACTGAACCATACAAATCAACATTAACAACACATAGGCGCCGGTGGTGTAGTGGTAAGCGGGATTGCCTCTTACCCGTAAAGGCCTGGGTTCAATCCCAGTCGGCACCGCCGGGACTTTCTGATGCATACAATCTCTGTTCACGTCTTCCTTCGGAAGGGAAGTAAACCGTTGGTCCCCGGTTCAACAAATGAGAAATTGTCTGCTCTGTTCGATGATGATAAGTAGAAGGGGCCCTAATACACTTCCCTGGGGCATTCCATGATAGTATCTGCAGTATCTGCTTTTAACATTTACCATCGCATGCAACTCATTGTATAGTAACGCTTCAACCCATTGTAGATGAATTTAAAGCCCTTCAGTAAAAGTATGAACGTCTGTCAAAAGTTGTTCCAATCGAACCGTCAAAATGCACCACTTTGCTCAATTGGAACAGTTTTTTTTCAGTTTTGTGGTGACAGTCGTCCATACTTTTACTGTAGGGATTTAGATGAATTGCGTTTGATTTGAATATCTTCCCAACTAACATTTTCTGCTTTATAAGCCAAGTTTTGCAGCGTTGTGATGTAAAATAGCTGAAAAAAAGCTGCAGATACAGCCACAAGCAGAAGCTAGCAAAATTGTTTTGTAGAGCGTTTACTCAACTTTTTCACAACCATTATTCAATTTACCAATCTCACAGAATAACAACAGCCAATAAACGCTAATGTCACTTTTATACACATCCTAATCAACTTTCAACTTGTAGCTGCTAAACAAAGCTAATAAAGTAAATATAATACTCATTTTATGGCTTCTACACAACCAACCACTCTTGCTGAATAACATAAACATCAAACGTGTTTTTTCAACATCTAAACAACCTGTACTCAGCTAATCAACTGTGTTAGCGCTACTTTGGATGCATTTTTACAGTCAGCTAGGTTTATTTTTAGACGTGTGCAGTTTTACAGCTTCTACTCTGCTTCTTTACAAAGGTGAAGTAACTAGTCGAGAAAAGTGAGTCTGCACTATTATAAAGCCTCTACTCAGCGATTTTGTTGTAGAAGGGCATGTTGATTTTTTTACATCAGTTCAAAGTGTTGGCGTAGCACAGTTGTTAGAGTCAAGGATTGCCAATGCGGTCGTCTCGAGTTCGATTCCAGATTTCCGGTGCAGGGTAAATGATTTGGTGGTGTTGATTGTAACTAATTTGGATTAATTTGATTTACAGCAAAATATAAACTCAATAAATTCCTTCATTAAAAAATATCGCAGACAATATTTAACCCGGCTTCAAGACAAAGCTGTGTAGTGATTATTGGATAACCGGGAAAAGGTTGAATAAGCGCCTTTCAAGTCCACACACAACTAAACAGCAGGATAACAGCTGTATAATAAGCGTTAATGGATATGCAATAAGAGCTTGTCCCAACCGTCCCAACAGCCATAAGTAGCTGACTAAATTCGCCAGATTTGCTTGTATAGAGGTTGAATAAAGGTTTCGTCATATCGTATAACGTTTGAATACAGGTTAAGGCTGTATAAATGAAATGAGTAAAGCGTTTACTTTGCGAAAATTGTTAGTTGGGTTCGCTGTCACGTAAATACGAGCGAAACGAACAAATGAGTTCATTATACATCAACGAATACGGGTTTGTTCATATTCACCAGTGCTTGATTATCCTAACCCAAAATTGTCAATATCAGAAGTGATCCTCAAAAGCAAAATAATCAAATTCATTCCATTTGGTCCAAACCAAATGATTATTTTGAATATTTACGACCCCAGAGCCTAAAACCTCGATATTATCATCAATTCAGTATGAGGCAATAATTTTCCATCAATCTGTGTAGAAAAATCAACACGACACGTTCTTCAGCGCAATATTTTTTGTAAAATGAAAATAATCATATTGCATTTCGACAGTGAGCATGCATAAGGGCCTATACGCGATGATCGATTCTCTTCGTCGATTTTCTCTTTTGTTAATAACTCGCTAGATTTAACGTTTCTCGGTGCGTTTGCTGTTGCTTTTGATAGCCAATACAACCTGTTACTACTCTGCATTGAACAAATTCTAGAAAATTGTTTCGCCTAGCTGTAGCAATGCAAAGAGAAAATCGATGAAGAGAATCGATCATCGCGTATTCGCCCTTATGAATGCTCACTGTCGATTTGATCCTCAAAATCATCCCCACTAAGACGAATATTAATATTGACAACAACAGAGGCGATAGCCACGAAAGAAGAAATGTTGATTTCGATACTAATAGGTTGCCTTCATCAAGAGAATGTTGTTATGTCAAAATTCAAATTCATGCAGGTAGTTGGTCTATCTGTTAAGGTTGTCTTCATTTTCAGTTAAGTTGTGTCTAGAATAGGTTATTTTTATCAGCACTGCCTACGGGTCTAAAAGAGTTCGTGGAGTTCTGTCAAATAAATAGCTTTCAGACCATTTATATGCAGTACTCGCATTGGCGTAGCTAGAAAATTTATCTGGAGGGGGCCTACACTCAATAATAAATTAAATCAAAAATGCTTAAAATAATGCAAGTTCCCGCTTCACCTTATTAAGTCCGAGCCATGATTACTTCGGCAGTAGTCATGCATGATTAAATTCGAAATAATCTTTCCAGAATTAAATTTCATTCTTTTTGAATATTAATGTATAATCAAAAAACACGCCCGAAGCTTTCATTTCGGAGTGAGTCCATTCTGAAAGCAATCTGCCTGTTCTGATCGGCCATTTCACGTTTTTTGAGCAGATCTCCAGTTTTCTGAAACTGGCGTCTATGAACGTTTCTCAAGCGATTCATGATTTGGGTGTGGGAATCAATGGCAATAAACTTACCCCTCACAGGAACTCTTCGGACGTCAGCCACGGTTATGGCTTGATGGAGTCCCTCCAACGCTCGGTCGATATCCTCCACGGTGTCAAGCGGTGGGTTGTCGATGATGTGCCTGTCTACCACGCGTCCAAACTGCGCCCAGTTTACGCGGTGGTAGTCCTTGTGCAGACTTGGAGCAGGGGCCACGTTGTAGCCCAGTTCAGGCACCACCGGTTGGTGGTCGGAGCTGATTTCGTTCAAGGCTACCGGCTTGGACAAGCCGGTATTTGTCAGGAACAAGCGGGAACCGGTGCGGGTGATGGTGGACAGGTCCTTCTTGAATTTAGCCACTAGTCCACTGCTGGCGGCACACCGTCGAGGGCAGTAGACGGCGATAAACTGGACGTATCCAGTCGACGACTTCACCTCTACACCAAGGGCCTCGATGATAGAGGTGCGGATATGGGACAGAGTGTGGTATTTTATTCCTTTCTTGACGACGATCGCAACACCAC